AAAAAAAAAAAGAGTTCCTATAAAATAAGAAATGACAATCCAGTAGAAAATGAACATGGTAATAAAATACAGGTTACAGAAAAACACAAATGAATAATAAAATCCTCATCCTTCTTAGAAACCAAAGAAATGCATATTATTAATGAGACATAATTCTTACTTCACTCATCAAATTGTTGCAAATTTTTATATGGGTAATGCCCTTTGTTGAAAAGGATGTGGGAAGCACTCTATTACTGAGTCCTTAACCTTTTCTTGATGTATTTAATGACCTTTTTTTCTAAGTATGACCTTTTTTCTAAGTACTTTTAGTTTGCAATAATACTGAGTATGTCATTTTATTTCTCATTTTTATACTAATTCATACATCATGAGAAGTTTCCTGTGACAATATGTTTATAAATAAATTTATATAAAACAACAGTATATATTGTTTAAAAAGAAACAAAATTTAATGCATACAAAATAAAAATAATTAGCATATTTTTACAAGTTACAACAAAATAGTGATAATGACTTTTTTTGTAAAAGCACTAAATGCAAATTCCTGAAGTCAATGACTAATCATATCTATTTTTTTTAACATCTAATTTCCATCTCACAGTGCTTAGCAAACTGCCATGTATCTATGGATGGGTCAAGTGAGTTCTTGTTTCTATTAAAGTGAATTCTTCAGTAAATGGAAACTTCAATAAATAAATAGTTAAATGTGCAACCTAATGAAGTACTGAGTATTATAAAGGATTTTCAATGGTGAGAAATGCAGTGTCCTATAGTGAGTCACCTCAGTGTACTATAGGGATTTTAAAATTTGTTTATGATCCCAGATGCTGTATCAAAAATATTTGTTTATAATCTGGTGCCCCATCAACAATCTCTGTCCCTTTTAGCTCTGTTTATTGAGAGAACAGCCTGTACAGAGAATCAATCTAGGTTTAAGATTTCTGCCTTCTCAGCAGTTTCTTAGGAAGCAGCACCTTTGGATACATTTCAGCTAGTCTTGGGAGACGCTGTTCAGGAGATTTTTTGTCGATTTTTTTTTTTTCCCCTTTTCCCTGTGGTTGCTGGAAATTGACCCCAGGGCCTGGAATTTGCTAGATAAGCACTTCACCACTGAGCCATACCCCCAGCCCCACAGGAGAGGAAAAGAAGACCCAGTAGGTGGAAGGAGGTTACTCCTAATATCTGCAGGTCTGTGACAGCCCTGTAGTCAGTCTGGCAGAACCAGTTTTGTAGAGTAGGGTGAGTTTTGTGAACAAGGAGAACCAAATTTATTATTTTTGCATCCCCATTAGTTACTCATTTGTCATGAATTATCGCCCCCCCCCTCCATTCTTATTCTCATGAAACCTCTGCACTTGCGACTTCCACTTTCTCAATGCCTTTGTACTTTAGTCATATACAGACTGGCTCCCAACATCCTTTCGAAACTGCTCTTGAAGGTCACTAATGACCTAATTGCTAGATCCAATAGCTTTCCCCTGGATCTCTAATCTTACTTGATGTTGCTGCAGAATTTAATGTCTGACCATTCCCTTTATTTTCACACTTATATATTTTATATTAATTTCTGATGCTCACTCAAGGTTGGACCAAAGAAACATTAGTAAATATGCCTAATATTCATTGAGTATAAGGCACTTCTCACTTAATTCTCATTTGTGTAAGGAAAATTTTATTCCTGTCTTTTTTTTTGGTACTGGGGATTGAAATTAATCACTGAGCCACAGTGGTTTTATTTTATTTAGAGACTTTATTTTATTTAGGATCTCACAGAGTTGCTTAGCGCCTTGCTTTTTGCTGAGGCTGGCTTTGAACTCTCCATCCTTCTGCCTCAGCCTCCCAAACTGCTGGGATTAAAGGCGTGTCCCAGCTCATTCCTGTCTTATAGGAGAGAAAACTGAGGCTTAAAGGAGTTGAAGAACAGAACCCATGACCTTAACTGCTTTCATGTGTCCTACAGAGCTGGAAGGAATTTTGAGAGGTCAGCTAATACAGACTCCAGTTCTTTTACTTTTTATGTGAGTATGTATGTTTGGTACTGGATTGAACCCAGGGGCACTTAACCACTTAGTCACATCCCTGGTCTTTTTAAAATTTTGAGTTAGGTCCTTGATAAGTTGCTGAGGCTGGCTTTGAACTTGTGGTCCTCTTGCCTCAGCCTCGTGAGCCACTGGGATTACAGGCATGCCACCACTCTCAGCTATAGATCACTTTGTGTAGTAACTGTCATCTTTTTTTTTTTTTTTTGATTCTTCAGCTAAAATAGTAGAAGAGATGATTTACTATGCACATGTTACACTTGGACACAACCAATAACAAACTAGTTCAAAATGCCACAGGTTCAGGGCAAAGGATCAATAGGGACTGTTTTGGTCATGAGCAAGGTGGGGGTCTCTCTTAGAGGTGGTCTTGGTGATCTGATGGTGATGGAAATTCTAGATCATTGAGAGACCAATCTGGACAGTAGCATGCTGTCCAACAATTTAAACCAGTTTCCCAGTACTCTGGCATTCCCTATTTTTGCTCCTTTGGCCTCCATGGGTGCACAAGTTAGCTTTAGTATCTGCTTTGTCTTTCTTCTTTTGTGCTGAAGAATTTAACGTCTGCACATTCACTTTTTCCTCATCTTGGCTCTCATGGTGCAGAGGCTTCTAAGATGATGCTAAGGTTAAAAGAACAGTATTGTTACCTTAATATCAAATCTTGTAGGGCTGGGGTTTTGGCTCAGTGGTAGAACACTTGTCTAGTATGTGCGAGGCACTGGGTTTGATTCTCCAGCACCATATATAAAAAAAGTAAATAAAATAAAGGTCCAGGAAAAACTCATAAAGATATTTTTAAAAAATCTTCTGATCAATGAACACAGGATGTCTTTCAATTTCCAGATACTTAATTTCTTTCAGCAACATTTAGTTTTCAGTGTACAGGTTAAATTTATTCCTAAACATTTCATTCTTTCTGATTCTATTGTAAATAGTATTATTATTTTTGTTATACTTGGGATTAAATCCAGGGCCACATGCAGCTAGCCAAGCACTCTATCACTGAGCTGCACACCCAGCCTTTTTTTGTTTATTAATGTTTTGCAGTAATGGAGAATACAAGGGTGCTCTGCCACTGAGCTATATTGTTTTCAAACAGGGTCTTGCTAAATTGCTGAAGCTGGACTCAAACTTGATCCTCTTGCCTTAGACATCCCAGATACAGGGATTACAGGCCTGTGCCACAATATGTGCCAAGTGGAAGGTGTCCCCTGCTTTTTTTGTTATGCCCCCATAGTAAGATACATATAACAAAAGATTTTGCCATTTACCTATTTTTAAGAGTACAGTCAATGACATTGAATATATTCATTGTTGGGCTGTTGGGAGGTTTTGAATTACTAATTCAACCTTCTTGCTATGTCTATTCAGACTTTCTATTTGTTTCTTTTTTTTTTTTAAAGAGAGAGAGAGAGAGAGAGAGAGAGAGAATTTTTTAATAT